GAGCACAATAGTCATGATTAATTGTCACAATTTAAGTAATTTTTTTGTCTCCAAAACGTGCTTGGATAATACTCTCCTTTCAAACAAGAAAAGGTTACTTTTTTCTATGTAACTTGCACTTTTTTTGTCAAAATAAGTCAATACTTATCTCCAACTTCATCCAATAAAAACAGTTATTTATATAAACCTACTTAGTTACTTATTAGTTTACATTTTTATGTTTTAAGTTTAGCCAATCTTACATTTAGTAAATTTCATTCAGCTTGTGTCGTTTGCAAAAGCTTGGTTGAGTGAAGCTAACTGGTTAAATAAAATCTATGCAAAAAATAATGTAATGCTCAACTTTTGGCTCTCTTACTACAAATTAAAAATACGAACCTCGTCCTTCTTCACGGATTGTTCATTTGCACGGACAAAAGTCTTATCAAGTGTGGTGGCCTTCAGTTCCTCATTCAGAGCATCTGAATAAGATTGCATGAAAGTCTCCCCTCCCTCTTCATTATCGTCACGAGTGTCACTCTCATCATCAGACTCATCTGCATGTGTTATACACCGGATCACGTTATTTAGCAGGACTAAAAACACTGATCAACGATTCAGCATTTATTGGCAATGGAAGTTGGAAACGTAAAGATCGTTTGTGAAAAAAAAATAGGACTATTAAATATTTCAAAAGTTAAGCATGGACATAAAGTGGATTAAAACATTTAGAAAGAGGTCAGGAAGGGGAAAACAAATACAATAATATAATGAGGTAGTACATTCTTAGAGAATAAAAGCAAAAAACGTCTGGAAAAAAAATAAGTTTATTGTCCACTAATAGAGCCAGCAAGAAGTAATTGCACAATCACTAAATTAACACAACAATTTGTATCTGCATCAAATCAAACCAGTTGGCTCATTTATAAGCAGTAACTCAGAAATTACCAAAATCCATGTCTGATAATGGCTCTTCTTCAAGATCGTGATCGCTACCGATATCTTCTGAACCACGGTGCCTCATTACTGATTCCATGTCTTTCATAAATTGATCCACATCAAGATTCACATCTTTCATGTTTCTACCAAGAAGAATGACATAAGATTAATGTCCACACAAGAAGAATTGAATTCATTGAACAAGATTAGTAATCACTTCAGCTATTAGAGAATTCCCAATTATCACACAAGGGAAAAATGTGAATTGCCAAAAGAGAAGGGTCCCAGACTCCACAATGTTCCTCAGGACGGCATAGCTTTATAAAGGTGATATTCAAACAAGGATCGCAGTAGATACATAGGCACCTAGAGATGAGAAAGGGCATAGTACCTTAGGCTCTGACTTGAGACTAAATCGTACAGGACACACAAAATTTCTTAAGGATCATAATGAACCTTCTTGCTGGGCTAAAAACTCTTAAAAGTGCTTAGCAAGGTATACAATGAAGGGTGGGTAGAAAAACCCCAATTAAGATCAACTTGACAAAAGCAGCACACTTAATTAGAAAGGGCAATGACAAAGACTTTCCACCTCAACATCTGTCAAAACACCAGCTCTCCAACATGAATGCAATAAAATTATTTAGACTAATAATTTCTTTCAATCACTAAGAGCCCATTAATCCTCCCCTTTTTCTTTTAACAATGAGAAATAAATGCAATAGACAATGCCAAAAGTTTGCTGTTTTTAGTTATAAGCCTTCCTTAAAAGAACAAAGACAATCTTAAACAATAACAGTCCATTAATCTCCCTTTTTTTCTCAATAATAATTAACTAAAAAGGATTAACATTCCTGTCTTCCTCCAGTTGTGCTCATTTCAAATGAATCATCATCTGAGGAAGATAAATAACTTTCTGTTGAACTCCTTAATTTATAGTCATGCATAAAATCGGGTAATATTTTCTCAGTCCCAGTCAATGCATCAAACTGGCAGAGACAGACATTAACCACCCATATCCAGGAAAGAAAAGTTATATGATTTATATTCAAAGCAAGGTCTGTTATCGATGTGCTTATATAAGTTCAACAGAGGTTGTCCAGATGGATAACTACTACTCATAGCATCATGATGTTTCGCCCATACTACCACATCAAATTAATGACAGAACTATTCAATATGTAACATAAAATAAGTCGAACAAACAAATACATAAATATATTCTTTAGTCCTTATTGCTACCAAATGAATTAAAAAGAAGTGTAGCACCGCATCCTACTGTTAATATATACACCGCAATACTTTACAATGTTTCTCAGGGTTGAGATAAGCAGAGAAAAACAGTTCTGATTTTCAACTAGTTGATGAGCTCAAAATGAAACCTTCCATGTATCTAAAGAAACATGAGAGGATGAAGGGTGCACTAACCTGTTTTCCGGAACCTCAGCTCCTTCATAACTCGAAACTTTTTTAACAAATGCTTGCATGGATTTTGCTATATCTCCAAGATCATAATCCTCCAAATCTTTGGTAGATGCTGGATCCCCATCCAGCTGCTCTTCTGACTTCTGTTTCTTCTTAAGCTTGAAATCATAAAGTTCCATCTCCTTTTGTCTCTCCTCAAGAGCAGCATTTAGCTCATCTTCCCCACCGTAAAGCCAAGAATCATCATCTGACAGAGGAAGCTCCCGACCTTTGAAATCATTGGACGAATGAGGAAGTGCAAGAATCTCATCTATACGTCCTGCAGGAGAGCTCAGCATTTCACTGCATCAGTAGCAGCATGTCACAATGACCAAAGATTATTCATTGGTATAACTAAAGAAAAAGCAAAAAGCCAAAAAGGCACTATCAACAAATAAGCATGAAGGTGCATAGAGAAAGTACTATTCTTAACTAATGAAGTATTCTCTTATGTTTTTCAGATGTAAAAGATATAGCTTTATCATTAGATGTTAAATAATATTTCAAAGGGAGATTGTGAAGTTTTTGTAAAGCTTCCTTGATTACGAGTAGGTAAATCAAGTCACAATGAGCGACCGGTAGGCGGATTAAAGAAGCTGAATAATCAAAACTACACCACATGATAGACTTGCATAAAGTCATATCTCCAAGAGCAAGACTTGTGGAAAGTAGTAGGTGGAAGTAACGTGATGCCACCAAAGGAAGCCGTGGCTTTGAAGAAATGAAGAATCAAAGCAAATAAGGCCACGTTCGTTATAAAGATAACAATCGAGGAAGAATTATTGGAGCATATAAGGGATAAGAACACGCAAAGGAAGCATGAGACACTTTGGTCGTACTGTTCTCAAAGAAAAATAACTTAAGGTTACAATTGCTGGAAAACGAGCTGCTCTCGATCACTCAAGGTGAATTCACGATAAGTCAATATTTTAACAAATTTAAATCTCTTTGTTGCGAAATTTCCGAATTAGATTTTTCTAATAAGATTTCAAAGTTTAGAATGAAAAGAATAATCATACATGGATTGAGACTCGAATCTAGAGACTTTATTGCCGCAATACAAGGTTGGCTAGAGCAACCTTCATTAGTCGATCTCAAAAATTTGTTGATTGACAAAGAAACATTGACCAAGCAAATGTTAGGGGTCTTAATAAAGAAAGAATGCGAAGAAGCATTATTCAACTATAAAAGAAAATGTCAATTCCGTCAACAAAATAATAAAGAATTAAAAAAAGGAAAATTCAAAGGACGGATTGAAGGAAGCTATCAGACAAAGGGAACTCAACAAAATCGCGACAAACGAGTCAAGCCATTCAAGGATCTAATAGCTCATGTTTTGTATGGGTAAACGAGGCCATTATGCCAAATATTGTTGGTTTAAAATGAATTAGGTTAAGAGAATATAGCAACCTCTAACAAGAGAAATATGAAGAATGGGATGTTGTAGCATCAATAACAGTAATCGAGCATGTTCGAGAGATAGAATTAAATTCAAGTATAAAGGACGAATTAGCGTTGGTGGTACTCTTGCTTCAACAAATGGATTGCGAAGATGATTGGATCGATGACTCAGGAGAAGACATTGTGATTCATGAAGAGTCTACTTGGTGGACTCCGCAGGGGGAGGAACTACCAGACTCGAAAGACGTGTTTGAAGAAGCATATGCTTGGTAGATACCACAGAGGGTGGAGCTGCAAAATTTAAAGGAAACGAAAGACAATTTGTAAGAAGAGGTCACAGAAGCCCAACGAAGCGCTGAGATATCTAAAGATCTACGGGTATCAAATGTTAAAGAAGAGTTTATAAGAGCGACAAAGTGTCCTAGACAAAATGGCGTGGATCAAGAACCATTAGTGAAAGATCAACCGAATCTATAAGAAGAGATTGAGGTACGTTCAAACTCACAATCACAAATAAGAAAGTTGGGTGGACATAAGAAATCAAGTACCAAGCATACTAACCTAAAAATACATGAAGAAAAAAGTACGAAAGAGCCAAACATATTTAAAGGAGCAGGTGAATTGAAAAAAGGATCGAACACTTCAAAATTCGTCAAGGCAAAATTGAGCGTAACGAAAAAGAAAAGGGTTAAAACGAATAGTTGGCCTTGAAGGGGAGAATTGAAGATATTATCACCAACTTTAAATACCTATAATTTTCTAGACTTAAGTATGTAGAATATTCTAGAGATTCATTACTTGCTGGAAATGAAACCACCGCCATTCCTGGGAAAAATCTAGAGAGTAAAATTGTTTAACTCCACAGCCATTGGAAGAATTCTCCAGCAAATGGAAGGTGGCAAACTCACCTACATTCACGCCGATAAATATGGAATCAATTGTATTTTGTGTGTAAGTGAGATAAGAGAAATGCAGGAGAGTAAGAAGAAAGAAAGAGAGAAGTGAAAGAGTAAAGAAGAGAAAAATAGAGAGAGGAAGAGATAAAATAAATTGAGTGCTCCTTTGTTAAATAATATTTCAAGTGGTTAGCGGCTTTGTTGTGTGTCCAAAATTGTGTAAAATCTATTTCATAAATAAAATAATATTTTTCTTTGAGTCTGAAATTCAACATTAACGTAGTCCCAAAAAAAATTCAGAACAGTCATTGCATCTTCCAAAAATAATAAAAAAAAAAAATTCAATCCTGAGATTATATGTGAGTTTAATAGAATTTATCAAAACGCACTTCCCCAAATCCAGATTAGCTGGTATTCAATCCCCTACACAAAAATTATAATTATGCCTAAAATTAATACAAAATCACATGGAGACCGTGAGATCAGATTTCAAACTATACCACACAATTGGAGTCTAGAAATAATCAATCTATTGATAAACTTATAAAGGAAATAATAAAACCGCTGGATACCTTGCCCTAGAATGTAATGAACTATTTCGATAATACTGCTCGGCTTTCTCCATCAATCTCTTGTACTCCTTTGACCCTGGCAACATCCCCTCAAAATACCCGCTCCTCTCCAAGCTCTCTCTAAATGCCTCCCAAGTACTCCCCTTCCCTTCCTCCCCTTGCCTCTTCCTCAACTGGTACATCATCTCAAACCCACAAGCAATCTTCATCCCAAGCTCTGCCTCCATATACCGAGCAACATCACTCCTTGATGCTGGCATCGGATAAATCCTTGGAGCCTGAAACTTCTGCTGCACCAACTGTGCATACATTGCCCTCGACATGCTGACAACTACCCCAACCATCTCTTCCTCTTTCCCCTTCGGCAGAAATCTCTCCATTTTTGCAGCATCCTTCATACTATCAATATCCCTGTTATAAAATCCCTCCACAGCCAAAGACACAAAACTCGGCTCTTGCTTCAAAAGCCATGCTACAGACACCGGAATCATCACTCTCGCTCTATGCATATTCTTATATGCACGCTCAGGGTATTCACTGATTTTCTTACTCAAATGGGATTGAATTGCTTGAGGAGCTTTCGTATCACCATCACTACAAATCAAGAATTTAGCGGAGTCTAATAAATCTGGGGTGGTAGGAATATGAGAGGGAGAAACAATATGCAGGAGACCGCGGCGAATAAATACACGATTAGGGGAGGTGTCGGGGTTCATCCATTTGGGCAGATGAAAAGCGCACTCAATGAGCAAAAAATCGCCATCTGAATCCCAGACACGAATTGAGAGACTGGGGAAATTTCTAGAAATTTCAAACAGTAGAAAGACAACAAACCACTCATCCTCGAGATTGTCCCCAAACCGGAGGTGGCCGGAGAGGTGGGGAATAAGGTTGAATGAAGGAGAAAGAGTGAAGGGTTGGTGTTGCCATATGTACCGTGCAGTGTAAGGGGTAAGGTGGTTGAGGATTTGGAGGTGGAGGGATTGGAGTTCTTCGGTGACAGCGGCGGCGGAGTTGGCGGTAGTGGCGGAGGTGACGGAGGAATCGGGAAAGATGGAGTAAAAAACGGTGTCGTCTGGAGGGCGGGAGTTTTTGATGGAGAAAATGGATGAAGAGGAGGATGGATTTGTGTCAGTTACTGCTGCCATGGCTGTGAATTGATTTTCAGTGGATAATTTTCGAGGGGTTTTGGAGAAGGGTTTGGAATTGGGGAAGACGGTGTCGTTTTCTTGTGGCGGGCTAATTTTGGACTGGAATGTTGTAGAAGGGGACTCGGAGTAACGGAGTTGCTTGTTTTGAATTATTTTAAAAAGGAAATGTATTCTTTTTTATTTTCTCCTACTTGTAATCCGGGATGAGCATTCGTCTGAAAAATAAAAGGTCAAAAATGATGGCTGATTTGATAGTTAACGCCTAGATTTTTGATTAAAATTTCTTCCAAACAGGGCCTAAGTCGAGATCGACTAGAAGTTGAAGCAATGGTACAAATGTAATAAAAGAAAATGAAACGATCAATTAAGTGAACTATCGTCATCGAATTCCTGCATGAATCAATTAGTCTATGACTTTTTTAAAACATTTATTTTTGTATTTTTTGAGGTTTTTACTAATAATCAAACCGACTTTTAAATTTTGTAGTTGAACTGCCTAATTTAACCCTTGTTTGTTTCCAATTTTAATGAAAATTTGTATCGTTGCAATGGGAAGTAGCCGCTTTTGTTGACCAATTTGTCTCACGATACGATAGGGCCCATTTGTTTGAAAAAAAGGTTAAGGGTGTGTTTGAACCACATTATTTTGAAAGAATGTATTTTGGAATAGTAGATTGATGGAGAATGTGTGGTTGAAAAGAAGGAAAAGTTATTGATGTGATGAAAAATATTATTTTATTGAAGAATGCGTG